TGGCCATGCTCTAAACTAGAAATGTGCATGTTTTGGGACTGCCTTGGCGCTGTCTTTAGACTTCATGATCAAATAAGGCTTTCTTTGTATACTTGTGATTCAATGCATTGGACTAGTTTTGAGTTTCGGGGCTTATTCCATGCATCGGGTGCTATATTTCCATGTTTCGGGACCATTTAGCATTATGTTTCAGTGCTAAAAATTACATGTTTGAATGCCACGTTTCATCCTTGCCATGTTTTGGTAGAGTGGCATTCAATGCCTTTGGTTCGGTCCTCAGTTTGCGTGCATGTGTGCACACATTTCGGTCATCTCATTTTCATCTTATGGCCATTGATGTGAGTGTGGCTGAGGTCCACTCATGTTGGTGTAAGTCTATCGTGCATTGTGTATGCCATTTCGGTCCATGGCATTGTGTATGCTGAGTTGCATGTTAGAGCATTGTGTATGACATGTTACATCGAGTATTGTGTATGCCATTTCATAGCATTGCATATGCTAGGTTATAAGTTAGTCGCATTGTGTATGCCATCTCATTTGCATTGTGTTTGGGATAGGAGTTAGCCCAAGCACGGGAAACAAGGGACGTTTCGTACTCCGAGTGACGGAACGTGTCTCAATTCCCGGTCGCCGACACTCCGGATTACTCATGATGGAGTTTAGGTCTTGTTGTGTTTATATGTGCATTCATTTCATATCGTGTCGTGCAATTCGACTCCTCGGCCATCATGCATCGAGATGCGTGATTGGTGGCACGAGGATCGAGGACTACACTCCCTGAAGAGTAGTCATGCATACATATGTGAAAATACTTTGCTGTGCCCCTTTCTTGCTCTCTGTTGCAGCAAATCAAAATCAGCAGCTTTCTAAAGCCTTGCACAGCATTCCGGCATTAATTACAAACAGAGGCAAATCGGGGCACCGCAATGGATTACCGTGCCAGGCAACTCGAGCATGCATCATTCATCATTTGGAACAGAGTTGAGGCAGTCCATAGATTTATGTACTAATTTACCTGCTTTCCTAAATTAATTTGTTAATTAATTAGGGTTTTGTAATATTTAATTATTTATTCGAACTGTATTATCATTCGGACTATATTATTCTTTCGGACCCTTCGAGCGAGGGCACAATTGTAATAAGTGTGCGTGCGTGTGATGTATTTCTTCCAACCCCACGTCTTTCTCCCTTTTATTTACCAGCTTATGATGGTTAGATGAGGGCATGTTTCAATTAGCATACAGTATGATAGCATGTTTGTATCATTCATCTGTCTTACATGCACCGGGCTCGGCGCACCATACTAACTGTATTTGTATTTCAATTCCAAGTTGAATACGTGTTAGCTGTAGCATTTCATATGCCATCTTAGAATAGCCAAGCCTATCTTAGTTGCATTTTGCATGTGTTGCATTAGGCATTTCTGTATAGTTAGGATCATGCATGGATTTCTAACATAGCTTTTGTTTTGGCTTGGAGTACTTGGTAAGTTTTTTTGCTTTAGCATCCTTGCATGTGTGTGAGTGATTGCCATGATAGCATGCTTACCATGAGGCTAATTGCTTATGTGATATAACTGCCTGAATGCCTATGGGTGAAGGTTGGGTTATTTGAATTGGAACAATTCGTCAATTGCGAGTTTTAAGCCCACTTGAGAGTGGCAAATCATCATGTTTTCTAAGCTCACCTGGGGGTGACAAATCCATGTCTTAGCCTACTTATGAGTAGCACCATCAAACCAATTTCAAATAAACAAACATGAAATGTTTTGTTCCAATTTAGGCGCCCCAGTCTATACTTGTATGCTGTGCGCATCATGTAGTAAATCTAGGCTAATAATCGGAATAAGAACGCATAATGTTTTCAAAACTAGATATCAAGGTTAGTAGAGGCCGATCTTTGATCGGGCGAGCGGGGATGCTCACGAAGTGACCTTCTCCAATCGTACCAAAGTTCCCGAGCCGAGGCAATTTTGGTGATGACGGACACGTGGCCTTAGGCAACGAGTCAGGGTCTCCTAAATTTCCCAAAATAAAATATTTAGGTGGCGACTCTGTATCTGGCAAAGCAGTCCATGTTTGGCACTTCTTTCAAAAAAATCTGTTTTCAAAAACGATTTTACGTATTTGGACTCTTTGATGATTTCATCGGTCTTGCATTGCACTCTGCGAGATTAGATACAGGACCGTGACATTGAGTCCTGAACTGTAGTGAGCCCAATGAACAAAACGGGAGGGGGGGAATCATCCTCCCGGGACGTTCGGGGACGTCTACAGATGGCTAGTGAAGTCCCCATTACTTGTTGTGGCACTATTCTAATGGAACCAAACACACTAACGTTGTGTTTAGTTAAGGAATTTGGGAAGAGATTTAGAAAGAAAAAGGAAAAAGGTATGTGAAATTATGTGAAATGTAGGTATATTTTATTCACATTTCACCTACCTTTTTCTTTTCCTTTTTCAAAATTTTTCCTAAATCCCCCAACCAAACAGAGTGTAAATAATTTCTACAAGAGATAGATGTCAGTCCAATGCTAAGGTTTTGTCAAAATCTGAGTCAAGCTCTTCCAAACAGATTTTTTCTTGAACATAGGTTTGAAATTCCTTCGTGATACGTTTGGTACGAGAGAGGGGAAAGGAAAAGAAGATAAAATAAAAGAAGAGAATAGAGGGAAGAAAAGAGAAAGAAAAATAATTTCCTCTCACAACTAATATCCTGTCTCCAACTATAATACTTCGGAGCTCACAACATCAACTGTGTACTGTGGTTGACCAAAATTTCACATCCGGTGTGGAAAGATTGTCATGGACCAAATTTGGTGATTTAAATGCAAGAATAGGTGATCTGCGAACAAGCTCAATCACTTGTGAGTTGTGACATATCGAATTAACTACGTTTGCTTGGTATTGCAAAGTAAAAAGAACGACATCAAATAATACCATTGAAAAGAAAAGAAAAAATATAACCTTTTATACTCCATAACATAACAAGAAGAATGAGTACAAATAATGCAATGCATGTTTACATACCTATCACAGCACACACATATCGTTGACACATTTTTAACAACTTCCCCATTGATACTGTCATTGTAGACTCTAGTTTCAATTTCACCCTCCACATAAACCGAAGAGCTACAAAAGAGCTCCACACATTAGATAGAAGTAAAATTATGAAAAACTAAGGTTGCGTTTGGTAGTTTTGTAAATATGATTTGAGAATATGAGTTGTATTTTGAGTTTGTGAGGTTTGGAATTATGATTTGAGTGTGGAAAATTTGTTTGGTAAAGAGTTTTGAAAAGAGTTTTGATTTGAGTGGGGAATTGTTGATGTGCCATTTGATATTTGATACAAAAATTTACAACTCATAACCAAACATACAACTCAAAATTATTTTAAAGCACATAAAAAATTTTTAAAAATTCAGAAAATGTTTTTTTCGATTATATAAAAATTAACATATCAAAAAAAAAAATTCACGATTCTGGTCAACCAGCTGGACGACCGGTTAGGCAAAATTTGAAATTTTTTTTTTCTGAAAAGCGCGCCTGAGACAGAGTTCTCTGCAGAGTTTTGGAAAACTGATTCCAAAACTCCTACCAAACATGATATTCAAATGTAGGTGTAGAATTATGTTTTCAAAACACAACCAAAAGGAGCCTAACTTTCAATTGAAAGAAAAAAGGAGAAGAAAAGTGGAGGTATACTTTTTAACTAGTTGTTGTATTGCGTCAGCCCCCAATGGTTCATTATGCATAGCAATTTGATTCCACCGAGCTGGTTTTGTTTGCTCTGATAATTCTCTTATCGAACATGCCCCCTACCAACTGTAAAGATGGCCATTGGTTACAGTTTGGCCATTTCTCAAGATCTTTTGCACAAGAGCTTACCCAATTTTTCCACATATAATAGCCTGTAAAAGTGAAGAGCTATGTTACATGAACTCTTCTAAATATATTAGGTATCTACATCGAACACTTGATACTAGGTATGTGTTCAACATTAGTAATTGGAAATTCACCTAGCAAGAATATTTAGTAATTCGTATTAACCGTAAAAATATGCATAAAATCTTAATGTTGTGCATTCTGATAAGGAGCCTAGCCATGATAGCTGCCTTAGCCACAGTCAAGCTCCAGCTAACCTACAGTCCAGCTCCAGCTACCATAGTCCCACAACTGAGTTCCATCAGTCGACAGCGTCAACAGCAGCTTCAATAGCTGAGTCACTGCATCAGTTAGACAGTTAGGTAGTTACAGAGTAAACTAGAGTTAGCTGGTTTGTTATTATTTGGTTAACTTGAGCCAGAGTTACTTAGAGTCATTTAGCAATTGTGGTTTATAAATATCTCAGTCTCTGTAATTGAATATTCATTGAATTAATAGATAAGATTTGATCTTTCTGCACAGTTTCTTTTATGGTATCAGAGCTACAAGCTCTTATGAGCACTGGTTCTTGAAGGTTCATCAATGGTGTCTTCAATGCCATTTCTTAATCTGTCCTTGTTTGCTGTTTCATCCACTCCATCTTCCATACCTCCAAATATTGCACTACTCATTTCAAATTTGAATTCTTTTGTGAATGTCAAACTTGATTCCACAAACTTCATTATCTGGAAGAATCAAGTTCAGAATATTCTGAAAGCTACACAGCTTCTCAGCTTTGTTGATGGCACACAAGTATGTCCATCATCCATCATTACTGATGAACACAATCATGAGATTCTGAATCCAGAGTATACACACTGGATGATGGTTGATTCTCATCTTCTCAGTTACTTGATTACAACTCTCTCGCCATCTATCTTCACTTTTGTATTTCATTGTTCCACAAGTCATGAAATATGGAGTGTTCTTCTCAAATAATTTACATCTTTGTCAAGATCACATATTCACCAGTTAAAAAAGAAGCTTAATCATATTTTTAAAAAATGCCACACAATGGATGACTACTTGACTCAGATCAAGTCAATTGCTGATCAATTAGCTTTAGCTGCATCACCTGTTGATGATGAGGATCTGGTTTTACTAATCCTTAATGGTTTTCCTGATGAAAATAATGCATTCAAAACTGCAATCAGAACTAGAGTTGAAACCATTTCTATTGGTGAGTAATGTTCTCTGTTAAATTTTGAATCAATTCATGTTGAATCCCCATCTAAGCAAGTTCATGCTTCAGAAATTCCTTTTGTTTATCATGTTTCAAGCACTTCACATCAAGGTGGCTATAGAGGAGGTTCTTACAGAGGTCGAGGAGGAAAAACTAGCAGCAGGTCTTTTAAAGGAAATTCTAGCAATTCTAATTTTTGAGGTAGAGGTAGATCTCCTAATCATCAAGGCCAAGGTCAAACAGGATATCAATCAAGTTCTGCTACTCACTCTGCTACATCTAATTCTTCTCAAGTGATTTGCCAGATCTGTGGGAAACCAAATCACTCAACATTAGAGTGTTGGTACAGATTGGACACCTCTCTTCAATCTCCAAGAGTTCGAGCTCATCAAGCCTATGTTACTAATACTAACACATCTTCTCAGTCTGGTATTGGTTCTCCTGGTGACAGTTCTCCCAACAACACCAACTGGTTTTTAGATTCTGCAGCCACCAGTCATATCACCAATGATTTGAACAATCTCTCTTCTTATCAACCATATCATGGGCATGATCAGGTTACTGTTGGTAATGGAACTACCTTACCTACTTCTCCCACTCCCTTCTTTCCTTTTCATCTCTCAAACATGCTTCATGTACCTTCCATTTCTTCCAACTTAATTTCAGTCCATCAGCTTATTTCTGATAACCATTGCACTATTACTTTTGATAAAGATATGTTTATTATACAGGACAAGAGTACCGAGAGGGTGCTATATAAAGGTTTTCATTCCCATGGTCTCTTTCATCTTCCTAGTGCTGCTCCATCTACTGCATCTACATCTTCTTCACTAGCTTGTTTTCAACCCACTATTAATTCTTCTCATTGGCATTTTAGATTAGGCCATCATTCTTCAAGGAAATTTCAGCACATTGTTACCCATCATTTGTTACCTTATTCATCTGTTAAGGTTTCATCTGTTGTTGATAATAAAATGTGCTCACATTCTTGTGTTTCCAAAAGTCATAGACTTCCTTTTAGCTTGTCTAATTCTACAGTTAATAAACCCTTGGCCCTTATTCACTCAGATGTATGGGGGCCATTCACTTCATCTATTTCTTCATACATGTAGACACCCCATTTTTGACCGACCTTAAGACTCAAGCGTCATCGATTGAGCGCTCGGTGATTGTGCATATTGTGCTCGTTTTGAGTTTCCGAAGTTTTGGCTGGGTGCCTTGCCTCCGGGTCTCTGAACTCTTTGTGCTTTGGCTCAGTTTATGGACCAAACCTTGTTTTCCTTCCCTGGAGGGAGAGAGGGGTCTTGTAAACCCCCTTTTGTGGTCGTAGACCACTTTTCGCGCTTGGACACTAGTTTTTGATTTTTGGAGCCTTCGGCCGCGCGCCTTGTCTCGGGACCGCTTAACGTCCTCCGTTTGGCGTGGTTTTTGAACCCCACCTTGTTGCCTCTTCCTAGAGGAACACTGTGGTCCAAAAGACCACTTTTGTGGTCGTAGACCACTTTTGATGCCGGTAGACTAGTTTTCGAGGCTTTCAGCTGCGCGCTTTGCCTCCCGAACTTTCGACTTGCATCCTTTTTGGTTTGTTTTTGGTACAAACCTTGTTTTCCTTGTTTGGAAGGTGGTACAAGGGTGGAAGGCCAGTTTTTCTCCTTGGAGACCACTTTCCTCCTCGCCAACCAGTTTTCTGGTAGGCCAACTGTTTTTCTTGGTTTTTGGACCACCTTTTCTGGTCGGCCACCACACCACTACCATGCTTTCATGATGCTGACCATCTCCCACCATGGCCGACCACTTTTTGCCCTGGCCGACCACTTCAAGTGGTCGGCAGCTGGCCATCATCTTTTTGGAGATATTTTTAGGCCAACTGTGCCAGCTGGTAGGCATAGAAGCCATCCTCCATACACGTGTATGGAGGGATGGCTTTAAGCCTAAAGCTTGTCCAACAAGCTTGTTGCTTGTTCTCTATAAAGGAGAACCTCCCCCCTCCTCCTCCAGGTTCAGGTTTTTGTGTTGGAGAGATATAGATACACCTTTGTCTCTATCTTTCCCTTTACTTCATATTTGTGCTTCAAAAGTGTAGTTTTATCACACTTTAACACACAAACACACACTCAAACACCATCCTTTTGTTGCTGAGGTACCTAGGAGCTGGTTTTGGAGTTTTTGGCTTGGTTTGGGTTCAAAAAGAGTGCTGGAGTTGCAGCCTTGAAGGTGTTCATCAAGGGTGAGTTTCTAACCCTTAAAACCCTTATCTTTGCTTAAGCTTTTGAACCTATTTGCATGTTGTTTTTGGCTTGACTTCCTACTGCAAAAAGTTCTGATTTTTATTCCTTAACATGTTTGTTTAAGGTCTCTTTTGTGTAGGGGGTAGCCTACCCCCTCTTAGGCCTTGTTATGCCTTGTTTTGAGCCATCCCTTTAGGCTCTTGTTTTAGTCTTTGCATGACCTTTCTACCACTGAATTCTAGAGGAATTTCAGTGGTGGAAATGGTGTTTTGAGGTCCCAAATAGGAGAGGGACATCCCTTCTCCTTGTGTTCTTGTATGCTTGCTTTGAATGCCTCATGTTTGAGCATGTTTGTTAAGCTTGTGTTGGCCACATCTCAGCCTATTTTAGGCCTTATTTCAGCATGACATACCACTATTTTGACTTGGTTTTGTCATCCCATGCATGCCTTGTACACTTGTAGTGTAATCCTCATAAACTAGTCTTGTATGCTTCATGAAGTAACATGTCATTCTAGCTTGTTTTGAGTCCATCTCAGCATGTTCTTGGCGTTGTTTTGCCATCATATACCTTTGTTAAGGTTTGGTTTTGTCATCCCATGCATGCTCCATGCACTTGTAGTGCAATTCCATGAATTAGCCTACTGTGTATCATGCTTTAGATTGTTATTCTAACATGATTTTGGCTTAACTCTAAGAAGCTTTTGTCCATGTTTTAGCATGCTCTAGCTCTGATTTGTGTTGTTTTAGTCATGCATGCCATGCTTTGTACAGTTATAATGCATTCTAGCTTGTTAGCTTTGTGTATCAAGTCCACTAGCATGCATTGCTTAGCCTCTTTGAATGATTTGGCATCATTTGTTATGAGATTTCAGTGCATGTTTCATGGTCATACACTCTCATCTTTCACTCTTTCAATGTGTTGGAGGGTTTGCCCTTTATGCCTTAAACATGAGCCATTGCGCATGCCTTCATGCCTAAGCTTGCGAGCTATCATTTCAGTGTGTTTTTTGGGTTATTTTGCCATGATATAACTCTTATTTTTGTTGGCGAAGCCATCTCATGCTTAGTCTTGGTAGGTGTAGTGTAATCCTCCCTTTTGGCCTTGCATATTCCATGCTTTATGCCCTTCATGCTAGCTCGTTTTGGCTTCCTTCCATACATGTTTTAGACTCATTTTGCCATGTTCCAGGATTGTTTTGGGTTTCCTTTGCCATATGCTTCATGTTTTGCATAATTGTAGTACAAATGCCTATGCTAGCTTCAACCTTCGGGCACCATAGCATGCTTCATTTGTGTTGTTTGCATGATTTAGCATCACTTAATATGACATTTCAGAGCATATAGACTTGTCATGTTCCCACTTCATTCACTCTTTAAGTGCATTTGAGTGTTATGTATTGTTACCTTGTTTATGGCCTAGTGTGTATGCTTGCATGCCTAGACATTTAAGCCCCCATCTCAGCATATTTTGGTCTTTGTTTTGACCTACTTGAGCTATGTCCATGATTGGTTCATGCATTTATTCCATTTATTACATGTCCCCTTTGTAGCCCTCTTTGCTAACTCTAATGCTTTAGGTCCTTTACATGCTATACTTGTATTATTTGGATGATTTGGCATCATTTCATACCTTATTTCAGTGCACTTAGTGTTGCTACACTTCCACATTTGTCACTCTTTGAGCACTCTTGAGAGTTATGCTCTTATGCCCGGTCAATGGGCCTTTGCATTGTGCATGCATTTACTTTGTACTTCATGCCTTAGTTTCATCATTATGGCTGCTGATTTGGGCATGAGCGAGGTCTGTCCATTCTTGGTTTAAGTCCATTTAGCATGTTTGTTTGCATGTTGTTTGCATGCTTATGTTACATTGCATTGCATATGCCATGTTGTTCATTGCATTGAATATGCTATGTTGTTCATCGCATTGTGCATGCTCATCTTACATCGCATTGTGTATGCATGCCATTAGCATTGGTAGTTTGATCATGTTGCATTGCATGTTGTTGCATGCTTGTCCCTTGCATGATCATTGTGCATGCTTATGTTGCATTACATTGAGTTACATGCATTACATCGTATTTGGCGTACTCGTGTTGCATTATGTTTGGATTGGGCATTAGTCTAAACACGAGAAACGAGGGACGTTTCATACTTGAAGTGATGAAACATGCCTCAATTCTCGATCCCCGACCCTCTTGATCATACATGATAGAGGTCAAGGCTTTATGTGTTTATGTGTGCATTCATTTTACATTGAATTGTGCAATTTGGCTTCTCGGCCATCATGCATCGAGATGCGTGATTGGTGGCCCAAGGGCCGAGAACTACACTCCCTTGAGCTCATGAAATGATAGGGAGGGTAGTTGTACACACATATCTTGCAAATACATTGCCATGCCCTTTCTTGCTCTCTATTGCAACAAACTGGAGAAGTGCAGCAAAAACTGGCTAGCCAGCCAGAAAAACTAGTTGGCCGACCACTTTTTCTGGTCTGCAGCAACAATAAGTGGTCGGCTAGTGGCTGGAAACACCCCTAGGTTGTCGGCAGCCCTCCCACAGGTCCCCAAGGTGAGTTAGAAGCTTTCTGGAGCTTGGTGCAAGGTTCTGAGAACAATTGCAAACAGAGGCAAGTTAGGGCATCGCGAGGGATTTCAGAACGAGGTGACCAGGCATGCATACTCTTCTCCCTCTGAGGACATTGCTTTACTGCTTTCCTTAGCTAGTTTATGCTTTGGTTCTGTACCTAAGTAGTTAATGCGTTTAGCTGCTTATTTGTGTTGTAATAACTAGTTAG